CTATAGACTAGACTATAGACTAGACTATAGACTAGACTATAGACTAGACTATAGACTAGACTATAGACTAGACTATAGACTAGACTATAGACTAGACTATAGACTGACTATAGACTAGACTATAGACTAGACTATAGACTAGACTATAGACTAGACTATTAGATAGACTATGACAAGACTATAGACTAGACTATAGAAGACTAGACTATAGACTAGACTATAGACTAGACTATAGACTGACTATAGACTAGACTATAGACTAGACTATAGACTAGACTATAGACTAGACTAAGGACTAGACTATAGACTAGACTCGACTATAGAATAGACTATAGACTAGACTATAGACTAGACTATAGACTAGACTATAGACTAGACTATAGACTAGACTATAGACTAGACTAGACTATAGACTAGACTATAGACTAGACTATAGACTAGACTATAGACTAGACTATAGACTAGACTATAGACTAGACTTATAGACTAGACTATAGACTAGACTATAGACTAGACATGACTAGACTAGACTAGACTATAGACTAGACTATAGACTAGACTATAGACTAGACTAGACTATAGACTAGACTATAGACTAGACTATAGACTAGACTATAGACTAGACTATAGACTAGACTAGACTAGACTAGACTATAGACTAGACTATAGATTAGACTATAGACTAGACTATAGACTAGACTAGACTATAGACTAGACTATAGACTAGACTATAGACTAGACTAGACTATAGACTAGACTATAGACTAGACTAGACTATAGACTAGACTATAGACTAGACTATAGACTAGACTATAGACTAGACTATAGACTAGACTATAGACTAGACTATAGACTAGACTATAGACTAGACTATAGACTAGACTATAGTCTAGTCTATAGTATAATCTTTAGTATAGTCTATATCCTAGTCTGTAGTGTAGTCAATAGTCTATTCAATAGTTTAGTCTACAATCTATATATAATCTATAGTATAGTTTATAGTCTAGTCTATAGTCTAGTCTTTTTCGTTGTCAAAAAGTACGAAAGTGTCAAAATTTTCCATGCTTGATACTTTTTAAAAATTTGGTCCCATAATGTACCATCATGAAAAGCTGCATGTTTAAGGAATAAGAAAAATCAACAAAGTAACAAAAACTATGAGTAGAGAGAGCGAATAGAAACAAACTTTTTTATGAGTTTTTTAGTAATTGAAAAAAGGGGTACTTTAATTATAAAGAGAAGTTTAATAAAAGAGCAGTAAATGTAAAATTATTTATTGTTGTAAAGTATATAAAAAAAAGCTTTGTGTTTAGTACGCAGGGGAAGCTGTTATATTAGGCGAGAGAGAAAACAACTCAATAATGATAGAAAACAACAAAGTATTAATATATGGCTATGAAAAAGGGGTATACACAAATTAAGGTAGGGTGTGTGAGAGAATATAACAGAAAACAATATTCTTTTAAAGAAAAGGGGAAAAATACTTAATAAGAGAAAAGCTTTAATGCATGTAAGCAACTACATAATGGAAAATTAATTATGTAAAAGCTTTGTTAAAAAACTAAAAGGCAAAAGAAGAGAAAAAATGTACTATTATTTTGCAAATTTTATTAATTTTTACATCATTTTCAGCAGTAAAGTATTTCTTGCTTATTTTGCTCTCTGTAAAGTTTATATTTTACAGTAGGTAGATGAAAGCAAAATTTTAAATTAAAGCTAATGTTTGTATATCTCAATTCTGTGTTATTGTTATTTTCTTTCTGTTGTTTTAGAGTAGCTTTTATATTATTAATTATTTACTTTTAATAATAATCATGTGCTTTTAATAAAATATTAAACATTTTATAGAAAAACTAATAAAATTCAAAATGGTAATCAAAAGCTTTCTGAAATTCAGAAAAAAACCTTTCCATAAACTCTCTTTCTCTTTTAGAAAAGCCAAAAAATCTTCCCCTTAATTTCAAGTTCTCTCTCATTAAAAGAACACTTCTTACTCTCTGTTATATAAATTCTTATATACAAAGTAAATATATACTTTTTTTCTATACAAAGCATTAGTTTGTAAAACACAAAAAAAATAACAACTTTGCGACCTATTTATTATAGAATAAACTCATATTAAAGCTTTTTTATGTATATAGTTGTTTTTTTTTACTGCTGTACATGTGTCTCTACTGATTGCTGACGTTGTTGTCATGGCGTTTTTGTTGAGAGTGTACAAATAGTCACACACACTTAATATATACATATATATTATATACATACAAAGTTCTCCTTAAACTTACAAAAACAAATGAAATACAGAAAAATAAACACAACAACGACATTAAAGCACAAACACTCATATATAAATGTTGTTGCTTGTTAGAAAAAGAAAACGAAGAAGACAAGAAGAAACAAGAGTAATAAAAAAAACATGACGACTTTACTGCAAAGCTACAAACTAAAATCTAAGCAACAACAACAATATTAATAGCAACAAACACAACGCAACATCAGTCAATATTAATAATGAAAAAACAAGCTACATACAAACTTACAAATATCCATAAGTATGTAAGTATCTGCAAAACTATCTAGAAGTATGTTTGTGTATTTTGAGATGTATTTTTTCTATTTTGTAGATAATCAACTTACATTGAAATCAATATATAACGATAATTAAACAAATACATACGAACGAACATACATATTAACACAAACACACACGTTATAGTAATCAATTTTATTTATGTATTTTGTTGTTGTTGCTAATATCAATTAAAAAAAATTACTTGACTTGGTTTAGTTTGGCTTTTGTCCATACAAATATTTTTAGTAATTACCTCCACTAGAAGTTAAACTTGTTTAACTTGATCCCGGAAAATTGGTGTTGAGTGTCTTACATTTTGCTTAACAGTACAATTTTCTTTACAATAAGAAGCAGTTGCAATAGATCTCACACTGTTGTTTTAAAAATGGACCTTAGAAAACATTGTAAAACTATACATACATACATACATAGTACAAATTATGATCTGGTCTATGTAGATCAACAAGATTTAGATTAGTAAGCATTTACCGTATTTATTACTCGAGAATACCTTTTACCTTGGAAGAGTTACAAAATAGTTTGCCCGTCTAGGTATGCCTTGGTATGACAGGTTCGAACCTTTCGCTAACAAACCCATGATATGGTTGTATTAAAGACTATAGATATATATTTATAGTCTTTGGTTGTATAGTAGAGATCAAACTGTAGTCTAGACTATAGACTAGACAATAAACCAAACTACCTATAGACTAGAGTCGACACTAGACTTTAATCCACCCTATAGACTAGACTTTAATCCACCCTATAGACTAGACTATAGTCCAGACTATAGACTAGACTATAGTCCAGACTATAGACTAGACTATAGTCCAGACTATAGACTAGACTATAGTCCAGACTATAGACTAGACTATAGTCCAGACTATAGACTAGACTATAGTCCAGACTATAGACTTGACTATAGTCCAGACTATAGACTTGACTATAGTCCAGACTATAGACTAGACTATAGTCCAGACTATAGTCCAGACTATAGACTTGCCTATAGTCCAGACTATAGACTAGACTATAGTCCAGACTATAGACTAGACTATAGTCCAGACTATAGACTAGACTATAGTCCAGACTATAGACTAGACTATAGTCCAGACTATAGACTAGACTATAGTCCAGACTATAAACTAGACTATAGCCCATACTATAGACTAGACTATAACCCATACTATAGACTAGACTATAGTCCAGACTATAGACTAGACTATAGTCCAGACTATAGACTAGACTATAGTCCAGACTATAGACTAGACTATAGTCCAGACTATAGACTAGACTATAGTCTAGACTATAGACTAGACAATAGTCTAGACTACAGTGCAGACTATAGTCTACACTATAGACTAGACTATAGCCCAGACTACAGACTAGACTATAGTCCAGACTACAGACTAGACTATAGTCCAGACTACAGACTAGACTATAGTCCAGACTACAGACTAGACTATAGTTCAGACTCTAGGTTACAATCCAGACTCAAGACTAGACTATAACAGCCCAGACTAGACTATAGTCTAGAGTACACGCTAGACAAGTATCTAGACTATAGCCCAGACTATATTATAGTTCAGACTATAAGTTATGATCCAGACTTAAGACTTGACTATAAGAACCCAGACTAGACTATAGTCCAGAGTAGACACTAGAGTCTAGACTATAAGCTGCAGTGTTGACTAGACTATAATGGAGACAATAGACTAGACTATATTCTAGAATAGACACTAGAGGAGAGTCTAGATTACAGACTGCAGTGCAGACTATACTATAGTGGAGACTAGACTGTAATGAAGACTATAGACTAGACTGTAGTGCTATATACTAGACTATAGCCCAGACTACAGAATATAACTCCAACTATATGTTATAATTCAGACTAAAGTCTAGACTAGACACTAGACAACAGTCTAGACTATAGACTACAGTACAGGTTATAGACTAGACTGCAGGGTTGACTAGAGTCTAGACTAAAATACAGACTAAAGTCTTGACTATATTGCAGACTATAGAATATACTATAGTGCAGACTGTAGAATATACTATAGCGTAGACTATAGTCTAGACTATGGTACAAACTATAGTCTAGACTATAGTGCAAACTATGGACTAGAATATACTAAAGCGCAGATTATGGACTAGACTATAGTCAAGACTATAGACAATACTATAGACCTGACTTAAGACAAGATATTATTCCAGACTATAGACTACACTATAGTCCAGACTATTGTTGTACCTTATACAGGGTTTACAAATTACAGATTAATTTTATTTTGGCTTTTTAAATTCTACCACTGTATATATATATTTTTTTCTCATTTAAGGGTTAACAGCCCTGCTGCCACTTTAATAAATTCTGTTATTCATAAACACTGCAGTATGGCAGCTCCTCTAATCATGTGTTTACGAATAAGGGAGGAAAAGAAAAACAACAAATAACAAGATTCCCAATTTTTGCACATTAAAAAAAATTGTTCATGACAAACAAAAAATAAACAAAATAAAACATACAATTTTTGTTATAACAACAAATTATAAATTTATTAAGAGAGCATAATATAAGAGTAATGATAAATATTGTCGAAGAGTAAAACAAATTTCATGAAAATAATGAATTCATTATTTTCACTAAACTCTTTGTTGTTATTGTATTCAAAAAGAAAAATAAACAAAAGAGAAAGATTTCAATGTATACGTACATAAAATGTACAAAGTATGTATGAATGTATGCATGCATACATACATAATCTCAGTAGATGTTTGCAGATGTATGAACGAAATGTACAAAATGACGAATCAGATGTACAAAAAGAATTTTTGAAAAAATATTTGTTGTTTAGTGTCTCTTAAGTATTCATTGTGTCTGGATTGGATATTTATTTTTTATGCATAAGAAATATTTAAAAAAAAATTTCCACTGTTGCTTTTTTTTTTTAAATTTGCACTGTACTTTTTTTTTAATATTTGAGTTTTAAAGTCGGAATAATATAAACCAAGTAAAAGGTAATTGAAGAATTTGTGTATTTGAAATATTCCATTTGAAATTGTTCTTTATACTGATAAATAGACGACATGAGTGGTGGTGGCAATCAGGATTTGGCAAATATGAAGAAATTATTAAACTCTTGGGATGTTGGGATACTTTATGAGCTGTTTAAAGGTAAGCTAGAAATTTCTATAGATAAGATTACATTACATAGGTACTTGCTCTTAGTCTTGACTATAGAACGGTCAATAGTCTTAAGTATAAAACGGTCAATAGTCTTGACTATAGAACGGTCAAGAGTCTTGACTATAGAACAGTCTATAGTCAAGACTATAGTCCAGACTATAGACTAGACTATAGTCCAGACTATAGACTAGACTATAGTCCAGACTATAGACTAGACTATAGTCCAGACTATAGACTTGACTATAGTCCAGACTAGACTATAGTCCAGACTATAGACTTGACTATAGTCCAGACTAGACTATAGTCCAGACTATAGACTTGCCCATAGTCCAGACTATAGACTAGACTATAGTCCAGACTATAGACTAGACTATAGTCCAGACTATAGACTAGACTATAGTCCAGACTATAGACTAGATTATAGTCCAAGACTAGACTATAGTCCAGAGTATAGACTAGACTATAGTTCAGACTATAGATTAGACTATAGACTAGACTATAGTCCAGACTATAGAATACACTATAGACTAGACTATAGTCCAGACTACAGACTAGACTATAGTTCAGACTCTAGGTTATAATCCAGACTCAAGACTAGACTATAACAGCCCAGACTAGACTATTGTCTAGAGTACACACTAGACAAGTATCTAGACTATAGCCCAGACTATATTATAGTTCAGACTATAAGTTATGATCCAGACTTAAGACTTGACTATAAGAACCCAGACTAGACTATAGTCCAGAGTAGACACTAGAGTCTAGACTATAAGCTGCAGTGTTGACTAGACTATAATGGAGACTAGACTGTAATGAAGGCTATAGACTAGACTGTAGTGCTATATACTAGACTATAGCCCAGAGTACAGAATATAACTCCAACTATATGTTATAATTCAGACTTTAGACTAGAAACTAGACAAGAGTCTAGACTATAGACTACAGTACAGGTTATAGACTGCAGGGTTGACTAGAGTCTAGACTAAAATACAGACTAAAGTCTTGACTATATTGCAGACTAGACTATAGAACAGTCTATAGTCAAGACTATAGAACAGTCTATAGTCTAGACTATAGAACAGTCTATAGTCTAGACTATAGAACAGTCTATAGTCTAGAATATAGAACAGTCTATAGTCTAGAATATAGAACAGTCTATAGTCTAGACTATAGAACAGTCTATAGTCTAGACTATAGAACAGTCTATAGTCTAGACTATAGAACAGTCTATAGTCTAGACTATAGAACAGTCTGTAGAATGTTCCGATATTTTGCCTTTTAATTGTAAATTTCAAATAATTATCTTCATTTGTTCTCTATATAGAAGAAGATATTGGCATTGATGAACTTAAAATGATGCAGCTAAGTCATATTAATCATTTACTACAAAATTATAAAATCGGTGTACGTATACGTTTTGAACATCATTTCAATAATTGGCGACTTAGAATTGGATTACCCTTAAAATCAATTACTTGTTGCGGTTGTCATCATAAAGTAAATGATAATATGGGTAATGGTTACGTAGAATCTGAGAGCTACGAAGAAGTTATAACCGATAATATTAGCAATGGTATTAATTGGGGTGTTAAGAGAAAAAGACAAAATGATGAGACGGCACATAATTATTATGATGAATCTCAGCCGCCATTATCGCCACAATCGATAAAATCAGAACATTCTATAGTTAAACTAATGACGAACTCTAATGAAAGTGATAATGTAACTGGTGTAGCTGTTGAAT